CTGCGATTCGATTAAATTACTATTACATTGGACAGCATCGATCAGTTTCAATTACGGAAATTTGTTATTAAAAAATCGCGAGAATCTTGGGGGAGGAAAAAATAATGGAAAAGAGATAATTTCAAAAGAAAAGAAGGAAAAAGATTGTCAATAGACCAAAAATGACTCAGATAAATGGTACCAACTTAAACGATACATAATACCTATTCGGTATTGTTATCTCCGATTGGCGATATCATCATCGTCATTTTCTTTTTCTTTTTTTTTTTTTTTGTAAACAACCTTTTTATTTCAACCAGAATGAACAGGTAAAACATTCCAAGACGAGTCCGTCCACAATTTTTTCATGAAAAAAAAAAATAAAATCCAACCTTTTACAACTTTTCGGCGCAGCGAACGCAATCTAGAAAACGTGATGTCGTGAGAACGAAGACCCCCACCAAGACCAACCAAACCCTTTCGCGTGACACGAGCAGAAATGCTATATCCACCACCTATATCAACAAAAAATGACGGCCGCTTGTTGTTCGCATCGCGCGTTGTATAAGCCTTTGCCGCGTGTCGCGATCGGGTTTAATCGGCGAAACGCCGGCGACATATAAGTGAGGTGAGTGCGTTTCATTGTAACGGGATACTAGCGCGGATACCAGCGGTATGATAAATTCTAACATTGTCCTGGGTATTATAAAAAGTGGTTGGTGCGAAAGCGAGAAATAACAGTGGTTGGAATCCCGAGCGTGAAACCCGTTCCCGGGCGCGGCTATTAAAGATAGAGAAGGGTGGCAGGAATAGAGAGAAAGAGAAAGGTTCGAAGGAGGGACGAAGGATAGGAAGACGATGAAATAACATTAGACGGGGGGGGAGGAAGAAAGGAAGGATCGGGGCCTTGTGAAACTTTTAATTAGCAAGCTTATCCATTTATCTGCATGCCGTTGAAAAGGAACGAGCCGTGGCTCGCTACCGAAAACAGAAGTCGAGGAAATAAAAGAGGAGGCAGAGGAGAGGGGGAGGAAGGGTGGTAGGGGTGGTGTAGCAGAGCACCACCGGTTTAGTAGACCGATAGGGGAAATGAGATAAGGGTGGAGCGAGGAGGGGGGCAGAAGGATGAGAAAGAAGACGAAAAAGGGGGAGAGGGCGGGAAGAAGATGGCGGGAAATAAACGAGGTGTGGTAGACTGGACCTGAGGCTCGTGATCCCACAATGCGCCACAATAGGGCGGCGACGATGGTTTTGCATATGAAAGAGGGCCGAGAATGGAGAGATAGGTGCGCGAGTAGTGTGATATTATATCTCGCTACGTGAGCGCCGATCTTCTCCAACGTCGGCCCCTTTCCCCTCCCCCTGTTTCTCTCTTTTCTTCATCTTCCTCCTCCATCGATTCTTTTATCCTCCGTATTCTTCAATTTCTCCTGTCCCTCCTCTTCACCCCCCCATCCCATCTCTTTCATCCCGTGTATACGCGGCTTCTTTTATCTTTTTCTTCGTTTCCCTTCCAGTTCTTATATTCCAACTCTCCCCGACAAGAAGGCCGATCGTAAGTTGAAAATGCGCGAGGGAAGCTACGTTAGAGAGAGAGAGAGAGAGGCGAGACGCTTAAGATAAACTCGTTTCGTAATACAAGGCTTAGGCCCTTTAAATCGTATCCTCTCTCTCTTTCGTTGTGCTGTTCGAATTTTCGACCTTTTGCGAGACGCTCTTCTCTTCCACCTTTCTTTCCTACCTTTTCATTCCGTTTCGTGTTGTTTTATTATTATCTTCTTTCTCTTTTGTTTGAAATTTTATCCTCAATTTCATATCTATCGAATTTCTTTATTCCATTTTGCCTTCCTCTTTTTTCTCTAATTTTCTATCTCCTTCTTTTTCTCTTTTTCCTACAATTTTCTCCTAAAAAAAAAAACCTGTCTTCGTCCTTTTAGAATTTAATATATCTTTCGCGGTAAGGTCATGCAATAATAGAATTCTTTGGGAGAATACTTAAGCAATTTCAAAACTTAGCTTTTTAAATTCAATAGTTGCCAACTCTTTTTTAGGGGGTGGATTTCGTAAGCCGGCGATAGAGAACGAAAAGAGATCTTGAGTTTACGATCGTGGGGATCGTGAAGCTGTTTCAATTTCAAATCGATAACGATAAACGATGATGAGAAAAGCAATTAATTGTAAATCGTAGAGGTGAGCTTCGTGAGAAAGTACAAACGAATTTATTCATTTTAAATTGTAGTTTATAAATATTTTACGGTATATATACTTTTTTTAATATATTCTATGAATACTCCTTTCTCGTTTTAATATCGTTCAAGATATATAAACCAGATACCAGATGCAAGGTGAAGGATATCGAGTTTGTATTATATTTTGGTAAATAACAGTCTTGAGATTCCTGAACTTTGGCTTGAAAATTTAATCAATACGTTCAAAAGCGATTTAATATATTCCTCGAACAATGAAATAATATTAAAAAGATCGATCGATATATATATATATCTATATATATACACATCGAAATATTTTACGAGTGTAAAGTTACAACACGCGTTTCTTTCAAAATTCTTGAAAATTGTTATCCAAATTTTTCACGCCAGACCAACAACAAACCTCGAGATCAAAAATCGATGATCCATTGATGAATTTCGAAAGATCAAGATTCGTGGAGAGGAAAAAAGAGAAGGAAAAAAGGAAAAGGAGGAGAGGAAAAGAAGGAAAAAGTGACACGGAAGAGTTCGCCGGGAAGGACGTAAGAGGGGCGGGAAAGTGGCATAAATGTTTCAGAATCGCGAGCATCTGTCGTCCCGGGGACTTTTTCAGTTCCCGTGGAAAAGCTCGTTTTTGGAGCTGCTCAGGAAGGCGAACAGCAAGTAGAGGCGAAAGAAGAAGGAGGTTTACTATCCTCGTATAATGTATTATAAGTGGAGGCACTCACAGAGCCGTCACTACCAAACACTCAAAGCCCTCCACCGCCCCCCTTCTCCCGCGTTCTATACCATTCTATCTACAGGTACCGTGTCTCTCTTTCCCTCCTCTCCAACCAACTTCTCCGTAAATCCCTCTGGCCGCCTTCTCTGTACACTCCGCTTTCGAGTTATCGATAAGAACCGCAGACCTCTTTTGTCGGTTGATAGATAGCCCCTTTCAGAGAGACGCGAGGTCAAATATTCGACGTGCCGCCGGTTCAATTTCGCGCCAATAATATCTAGTCGAGAGATAAGGGCCCAAACGTCGACACTCGTATGTTGTTTATGAATTTGTTCGCTTCAGAGAGTTGGCCGAGTTCGGTTAAGTGCGCACGATGACTGACAATGTTGACGTTTCGAACTTTGCGCGTGGTATCTGGTTTCTTTTTTTTGTTCTAACGCTTGGGATCTCGGACAAGTAATATTAGAAATGTTTCGTATTTTTAATAATTAATTTTAAAAAAAACGCGTATTTATAGACGTATAATGTATTTTAAACGTATTTAATAATAAATAATTTTAATAACACACGAAACGGAGACAAATTATAGAAAAGAGGATTAAGTGAGAATTTTTATAATAGTTGTATATTTAAATATTCGATTTTGTTAAATTATTATCATGGCACTCGATATAATAATAATAATAATAATAACTTTGACTAAACCGAAAAGACTAAAGTTCCTAAACTAACCTCAATTAACAAAACTAACCGAACTAACCAATTAACACAATTTACTTATGGAATAAATAGAATAGAGCCTTAGATTAGGAAAAATCTGACGATCATACCGACGTAACTTATACCGACTATAAAAATTCCGATTTATGAAAATTATAATAGTGAGATACAATTTTACTTTATTATATAAAATAATAAATTTTATAATTACTTTGTAAAACGTGTATGGTGTAGTTATATAGAGGATTTCTCTATAAAAGTATGTAGGTATCTTAAATTATGCTCCATATGATATGTAATTGATTTATCTTATATGATATATAATTAATAATAAATAATAATAAAGGATAATTAATAATAATTGAAATAATATATGATATAATTATATGCAATTATATGCGATAGTCTCACTTTCAAAAAAGTAATAACAATAGAAAAAAGCAGGAAAAATTTGTAAAAATTACAACCCTGTACGTGTATAAATATATACATTATATACTACATGTATACGTATACATTGTATATATGTATATATTGTACAATATTAATATATAATTGTATGTATATATTATTGAATTATTATGTGCAGAAATTTAAAATCACAATGTCTAATCTACATATCTAAATTGCGAATCTTTCAATTCAAGCATATCTTATTTAACTTAATTATTAACTTAGTTTTTAACTACGAAACGACTCGTATACGAAATCGGGTCGGAATCGTTTCAAAGAGCTTAAATACCAATTAGTATAGTAAAGTCATTTTAGGAATTCTTAAAATTATTGTAAATATCATCAAAATTCATCAAAATTCTCCATATTCGATAAAATTCAAAGCAATAATATCATATCATTAAGTGTACGTATAATCATTTAATCAATTATTTAATCGCTAATTGTTTAAATGTTTAGTCACTAATTAGCATAAGATTCAGTAATATAGGACTCCCGCAACAGTTAATTACTATAAAATTGGTTAAGATTAGTAATTAGTCAATTATCAGAAATAGCAATAAATAGTCAATTATTCAAAATTCAAAGCTCCCTGAATAGTCAATAATACACGATTCAAGACGAGAGCCAATAACTCGAAAAACTCTAACAGCTGGAATAACTCAATTGTGTTAATTATCGTAAATACAAAAATCAATAATCCAACAACGTCGAAGAAAATTATTAATTGTATAATCATTGTATATAAAAATTGTAAATGGCAATTAAGCCATTCAAACCATTATTGTTATACGATAATTATTGGTATCAATAAGCGTAGTTAAAAGCGCCGGTACCTCTTGATGGAGCGAAACCGTGCTCACCACAAGATTCGTGGTTGAATCTCGGTGTATTAAGAAATGGGTTTGTGAGGCCAGGTGGCGTGGATCAAAGCCGACACCAAGGCGGTCCTGGCGATTCACGAGCACGTGATCACGAACAACGCCCGTTTATCAGTTACACACAGTGACTACAATACGTGGACGTTGAACATTCGTGGAGTACGCCGAGAAGACCGGGGCATTTATATGTGTCAGGTCAACACGGATCCTATGAAGAGTCAGGTACGAGACTTATCCTTGGCGAATAGCGAGTATACGATAAGGAGAGGGGATGGAGAGGGGGGGGGGGGTGAAAACAGGAAAAGAAAATGGCAGTGGAAGTAGAGAATCTTTTTACCCTAGATCCGGGTCAGATTTTTATTGTACGCGATGCTTTCGCGTGGAGGGCATTCATTTCAAAGTGAAATCCCGTTCTTTCGTGGGAGCGGTGTGTTTTCCGCCTCTGCGTTCCAAACAAGAAGGGGGGGGACGGAATTAAATTTCGCGGAGTTGTTTTCTTTTCCGAAATTTGAGTTGATCTTTTGGAATGTTCTCTATTTCGTTTTTTTTTTTCTATTTTTATCTCACTTTCTCTCCCTATTATCGTATATTATTATACTATTATAATATTATATTAAATCAATTATTCATTCGTTCATATATATTGAATATTTACAGAGTGCGTTTCTCGAAGTGGTGATACCGCCGGATATAATATCCGAAGAAACCTCGAACGACCTGATGGTACCTGAGGGTGGGTCTGCAAAACTAGTATGCAAAGCCCGCGGTTATCCAAAACCTGATATCGTTTGGAAACGGGAGGATGGCGCCGAGATTATTTCCCGTGCCGGATTGTCTGGTGGCAAAACGAAAAGTGAGTATAATTATATTTCGATCGTAATTTATTTTCGATCCCCGTCCAAATCCACTCCCCTTTACGTGTGTGAAAAATGATGGAATAAAAATTTAATCGATAAATATTTATCGATCGCGATACATTCCAACATTTCGTCATATTATTTTAAATAAGTTTGCGAGATTATCTAAGATATTGGTTGAATGGAAACGTTTGTGAAATTCTGTTTGATTTAAAAGTATTACGGTCTCTTTTCTGGGAATGCGCTAATACCCAAGGGGCTAAGACGACTTAAAAAAAACCTCTCTTGCTGGTGGTATAATCAGATGAAAGAGAAATTCGAAACAAGAAAGGAAAGATAAAAAGTAAAATTAAGAAAACAGGGATGGGGGCAAAATATGGACATAAAAAAAAAATTATCCGAATAAGAACCGAAATGTTTCACGTGTCTTAAATTGTCGAAGAGGTTGGGACGTCGATTCCTCCTTTCTCTATCTTTTGAATATTAATTATCGATAGATTCACTTGATTGTTATTTGTGTATATTTCAGAGATTCGACAGATGATGTATTTCGAAGTCAAGAAATAAGTAAAACTCTAATTTTTGAGAAACGGTTGACTTAGAAGCGTTTGCCTTAATTATTACATATTAAAATAAATATGTGTAACGACGTGTAATGCACTAATTAATTCGAGAAGTTTAAGATTGAAATTTTAGAGATACTGCAATATTTAGAAAAATATTAAGAATTTACAATTTTTACTTTAAAGAGAGTATTTTTATTCTAAAGAAAATGGCAAGTATTAAAGACGATAGACGCAGGTCTATCTTTTCTTCCCATTTATCAGAGGTAGGTTGATTCTCAAGCGAAGGTGAAACTGCATTTTCACCCCTTTGTGCTCGCTTTTACTTGGTGGTGAACTCGAGCGAGTAGTATCGACGCGTTAGATTGAAAGCAAGACCTTAAGCTTCGTATCGTAACTAATCCAGTGTTTGATTAGTAATCGAACCAATTCGATTATTTACTCGATACTCGGTTAAACGACTGGAGCGTATAAGTAGCTTTCCATTGACATCGAGTTTCAATCGGAGTATTGAACTTTGGTTCTAAGCTTCTTATATTATCTCATAAACGAATAAATGAAAAGTAATTGGAAAAGAAATATATCTTATGAATTTATATGGACACTTCAACGATATTATAAATAATACTTTAATTATTTGTGTTCATTTTCCTTATCGAAATTTTAATAAGGAATCTCATCGTTGATGAATATTTTATTTGACAAAGAAAATAAAATATTTTGCAGAATCGTTAAAAAAAACGTATGTAATTAATCACATTTCAACTGGAGATCTCGGCTTACTAAGATAATTATGACTACCATTATCTAGTTTTATCTAGTAATACTACTAAAATAATACTAAAAAGTCACATAACAAGGTTTTCTTTGAGCAATTTTAAATTATATTATGTCCTATAATGATGATAAAAAAAAAGTTAGATAGCCTAATCAAAATTATGACATCCTCTTCGAACTTAATCCATCGATTAGAAAACCGTCCCTTCATTCTCCTCCCTCCTTTTTTTTTTCTTTTTTGTATTAACACACGTTAAAGTAAAAAAAATAATTCTTTGGGCATTTCAAAATTGTCTTGCTTCCAAGGATAAAAAAAGACTCATAAAAATTAAACGGCCTAGTCAAAATTACGATATCAGCATCCCCTTATTCGCCCTCGATCGATTAGAAATCGATCATTTTCTTCGCCTCTCTCCTTCTTTTGTTGTTATCCCTTTTTTTTATATTGTATAAATCGCATAACAATTTTTTTTCTCTTTGAAAAAAAGAATTAGAGAGCCATTTCCATATCGAAATCGTGTTTAATTAACAGCGAGTACGAAGCATAATACGCGGATCGCTTCGAATTATAATAATAAACAGAGGTTCGAAACAATTGTAAGTTCGATTTTAAATCATTCACCTCGAGGAAAGCCTCGGTGTAAACAGTGCTTTACATCGCTCTTACTATTCCCATGCTCGATTTAAAATCTTTAACAAAGATTTCCCTCCCTTAAGATACTCAATTGAAGAGAGAAAAAAAAATAAGAAAAAAAACCACTTCGATTTAGAAAGAACCCTGTTTTGTCCAAAGCATTTGTATAAGTTCAAAATTCTCTTTTATTCATTTCCTTATCTTTCGAACCTCTGCTCTTATCGAAATATCGTCTAGATATACGAAACGCTATTCCTCGAGTTTCCTAACGCGTCTAAAATAAGCGTGTCGAATAAACCGTATGCGCAGAAATAATTTATAGCACCCATCAGATTAGATTACGAAAACCGTCTTCTTTTTTTTTATCTAATAAAAAAACCCATATTTCAACTTCGTAGAATACTTTCGCCAAATTGCTTAACGAATCTTTTTCGTATTTTTTTTCTTCTTAATAGTACAATGTGGACTAATATTCGTGTATTTCCACATTTCTATAATGAAACTCAAGAAGAACAAAAAAGACAAGAATTTCCGATACATATCGTCCGATAATATTATACTCCAAAAATGTATATATGCTTGTACTATCACAGCGTGAATAATCTTTTCTTTTCGTTCTAATCGATAGTCCTACAACTTATCACAGTCCGTGATTTACGTCTTATCCGTACTTACTTTCAACACCTTGTTCTTCGATGGCGGCCCAGTATCGTCGCTTTCGTCCTCGCCTTCGCCCACGTCGTTCAAATAATCGTGATGTTCGCCCTTCCCTCGTTCGCTCGTTGTTGTAGCAGCGTTGCGTTCCTCGTAGAAACCAGCCAAGTAGCCTCAATCTCGGTGCAGGATCGATGAATGTAAGTCTTCTCCCACAGAGAATTCTTCCAATACGACAGTGGTCTTAATTTCAACGATCGTAGATGGACAGAGTCTTGATCGTCCCAACGAATTTTCCCAAAGAAGCGTGTCTCGACAACGTTTCGACGTTGCTCTTCCTTCTCGATTTTCGTATCGCGAGTTTCTCAGGGATGTCGCATTTCTCATTTGTCGCTTGATCCCTTGAATCGACGCCTGCAAAATTCTGGATGAAGATGATGATCGATATGAATATCGTGATCAATATCGTAATCGTTTCCACGAATCTGTGGAATATGATCTTGAATAAGCTGGCGTCTGTGTTTCTTCTTTCCACCATTTTTCGTTCCATAAATGGTTGTAAATCATTGAATGAATCGCTTCGAATTCTGTATCGTCGCGCTTCTTTGCTCTCGTCCGAATGATTGGAATTTCTAGAAGTTGTGGAAATTCCCAGGACGAAATTCTTTTTCGGGCGTTTTCTCGATCTTCTCTCCTCTTCTCGCTTCTGATTTTCTGGACGATCGTACACTGTCAAAGTTCTAGAAATGAGTGGCGAGTGGGCCAGTCATTGCCCTTTTTATAAGAAGGTACCCCACTACGTGGCCTATTCACTTTGGCAACGTGGCACTTCCAACCTACGTCTATTTTCCGTTAGAAATCCCTATGAAAATCAACATGGCGGCTCGAGTGACCCAACTTTTGTTCAACAATTCTTTCTACCTGCAAACCAGACCCTACTATAAACTGCTCGATTGTAGTTACAAAAGGCCTTGATCGATACGAAATTTTGGGGGACGAGGGAAAGATGGAAGGTTAAAAATATAGAATATAAAATTTCGGGGCAATTATTATTTTTGCGGGTTATTATTAAAAAAATTATAAATTGAACAGTGATACGATATATCAGATATTCAATGATACATTACGACACTGTTACTAATACAACTGCTGTGATAGTTATTGTCATGGACAGCACTATAGCTATCAACCTCAATATCTGTACAATACGTCGACTCTGTATGTGCTCTATGATTGGCTAATGTTTTTTTTTTATTAATCAACAAAGGTAAAACCTTTTTGGAAAAATATTTTTGCAACGAAAAATATTGCAAAAATATTCCTCATATTTTGGAAACATACTTAATGATAAAATATCTTGTATAAAACATTTTGTACAATTCGTTTTAACAACGTGGAATCGGGTCGTCTATTATTTCCTCAACTTATTTTCCTTTAGAAATTCTTGCAGCAAGAAGACAGATAAGAGCCATTATCCAACAGTTTTTTTTTTTCTATCTACGACAAAAACTAGTTTCTTACTATAAACTGTAGTTTCGAAAGACCTCCAGTTACTAATCTATACGAAATTTGATAAAGAGGAGGATGGAAATCTAAAAATATAAAATATAAAATCCAACTGTTATTTCTCGAGATATTAGTAAAACAAATACTTTCATAAATCATAAATACTATCTACAAAGACGTGACTAATAAATTGAATCGATCCCTTTATTACTCATTACATGTACATTAAACAATAAATAATATTATATTTCCACAAATTAATTATATACAATCTTCCATACGATCATCAATATCTCGATTCCACGCGGTCTGTGAATATTTTTCTTTTGTTTAACAACTCGAACAAACTAAAAACGAATATTTTTAGAAAGGAAAAATATATGCTGTTTCAACATTTTCAAGGGACCACGCCCTTCCAAAAATTTCCGTTGGGAAGATGGCCTCGTCTTCCCCCACTCTATACACAGATTTTCTAAAACATTATACTCGTCCACTTCGGCAACGTCGCATCGGGTCATCTACCATTTCCAACTTTAACACATTTACTTTTCTTTTCTTAGAAATCCTTGTGATAATTGACAGCTGTAAAGATCTAACGCGAAGCAGATGCCGCTCCCCAACATTCTCCAAACCTTCTTTCTATCTACTATCTACAACTAGACCCAGTCCCTAACATTACAGTTTGTTCGACACTAGTTCAGAACGACACGAGATTTGGACGCTTGGAATCTGGAATTATACCGTCTATTATTTTACTTTATTCCTATTATTTCTATTAACGTTATAACATTATAGTTTCAACTGGCTTCGTATCAATTTCCATTCATGCTGGAAGGCGGCCAGCATATAATTCTCCAAGTTTTGTATAGAACACTTTACGCGTGTAGATACTGTATAACGTGATATTACGTAATATGTATTACTACGTAATACTACGTGATACGTGATATTCAAATACGTAGATTGAAAAAATTTTCGATTAATCTGGAAAAATAATAATCGGCCGAAGCTAAAATCTTGTATTTCGAGGCCCACGCTTTCTTGTCGATGAATCATGAGCCCTTTGGAACTATGGTCGAGCAGTTTATAATAGGGATTAGGTCTATTTCAGGTCGAAAGAAATATGGCAGCTGTGTTGGCTCTTTCCTGTTACGTGATTAACCTAGGAATTTCTAACGGAAAATAGTTAAGCTTGGAGTAGCTCGGAGTGGAAATTTTTATGGAAATTTCCATAAAAATTCAATAGCATTCGATACCAAATTCGAGACAAAGTTTCTTATATAAACATTAGAAAACGTTATATATACATTTAGTAGTTTGTTAGTATTTAAATGCTTGAACGTACTTATATACGTTCTAGACACACGTGCAAAGAAATTCTATTTTCATGATCCCTTGAAATTATTATGTTAACACGAGTCGTAAGATATCATCAAAACGAATGAAAAAGTTGCTGTTGTTACAAAAATATCGACGTTCTATTTGAGCACGGCTGAAATAGAATCGTTTCGTTTATAAGTTTCTGTTTCACTGAATTTATATAAATTATCGATTCGAAGGGGGAACGTACGAAATTGATTTTGAAAATTCTTCTTCAATCCCTTTAAAATTTGTTTGTATTACAGTATCAAGCGCCGAGGGAGAAACGCTGACTCTGTCGAAAGTAACCAGAAGCGAGATGGGCACTTACTTGTGCATCGCGAGTAACGGAGTACCACCATCAGTCAGCAAACGGATGATGTTGCACGTGCACTGTAAGTGAGCTTTAATATCGTTTCACCACCTATTTTCCATCGAAAAGGTCCTCTTTCATCTGATCCAATCAAAGATTATCTTCATAGACTCGAACGATGATTTCCGCCTAATTAATTCCGATCGGGTTCTAACTTATTTCTAAAGAATTTTATATACGCAAATATCCTCTCGTACGTTCATTCAACGTTCAATTATCGATGTTTAATTATCTCTTGGATTAATAATAGAGTAATAGGATCGTTTACTTATGACGGTTTAATAATATAGAGTTTAATATAGGGCATTTAATATTGGAAAAGGAAAAGGTTAATGAATAGAATTTCAATTATTGATAGAGATTCGATCGAGGGTATTAAACTGATTGTGAGCTTGAGCTGTGAAGAGTGTAATATATGAAGATTTTTATGAAACTGTTTATGAATTCTATTTAATATATATATATATATATTTTTTTTTAATTAATGTTACACGAAGCATAAAATAATACTGTGACGTCTTTCTTTTTTTAAATTAAACTTGTAAAATTTCGATCAAGGAGAAAGCAATATATTTTTATCAACAATGACAATGAAATATTTTCGATGTTTTAATAAAATTCCAATCTATACTCCTTCAAATTCCACGAACTTTATCAAATATCAATATCAAATATATGCCAAAGTTGAATACATTCTTTCGTTAAACAGAATGTCAAATTGTTCCCTCTCTAAACAATATTTTTGCAAGAAAATTTTTCTTCCTGTTAACGAATAATATTCTAATCATTCTATTTTTTTATTTTTATTAACATTTTCGAATATTTTAAAGAGGCATCTATGACGCCTGCTTCCTTGATCGAAGAACGAACTAAAAATTAAAGATCCGTTTTAATCCACTTTATTTCTTACTCTCTTAGCAATGTTTTAAAATATTTATAAATAACTCCATCGCGCTTGTTTCCTTGACTGATTCCACGCGAAACTGTAAATTGAGTTACATCACGCGACATACATACATTCATACGTTTAATGTATTCATCATTCGTATTACACATGCAAACTTCACAACTTGTTTCCTACCACAATATTCAGAACAGATACACTTCGAAATTCGTGTTATTACATTGTCACAATAAAATACTTTTTCCATGAAAATTTGAAAAATTGAATGTATGTCAACTCTTACAAAATAAATGCTTTATAAACGTTTTATTTTTATACTTATGTTCTTTAAAAAAAAATATATCCTTGCGAGAAATTCGAAATTCTTTTGAGAATCAAAAATTTTATAAAGTGTAATTTCTCACATTATGTAATTCTCACATTATTTTTAGAGACGATTTTAAAATACGATGCAACAATTGTGCTGCAAACAATATCTAATAATAAAACAATTATTCTTCTTCCCTTTAAAATTATCGTTCACCGTAAAAAATCTATTAAAAATCCTTTTGTTCAATTCAGCTCAATCCTTCAGCATTTATTTTCCCCGTGAAAACAGATTAACTTTTAATCTTTCGTGCGCGTTTTCACGAATTATTCTATATACGTATATATGTATATATGAAAATAAAAATCAAGAGGATCATAATATACGTATATTGAGAATTGTAGATAACTATATTAAATGAGATGAGACACTTATTTTAATTTAATTTGTTAAAATCATAAATTTTGGAAATAATATATCGGAAGCTTTTTCGGATGATATAAATCGGGCAAAAAGTAAAGTTCGGGAATTAATAATTCTATAACACGTACATGTGTATATTTTAAAATCTCTAAAAATTGTATGAAATTTTCAAACGCGTAAAAATCCTAGATTTCTAGCTCTAAATTTTTAAAATCCTAAAAACTCCTAAAAGTAAAAAATTCATAAATATCGACTCATTGACTCAAAAGCAAGCGCGCTATTATAAAATATATTCGTTAATCGATTTAAGATAATTCTTAAAAATATCTTTCTATCTCTCCATCAAATCTTGATATATTTTGAACAAAATTTTCGCATCGAAATTCTTCGAAAATTGATCCATCTCCGAAAAATTCTCCCAAAATTTAAGAACAAAAAAAAAAAAAAAAAAAAGACAATCGAAATCAACCCAATTACGTATCCAATTACGTATCCACCGTTCTCTCGATTCTACCAAAAAAAAAAAAAAAAAGGAAGAGAGAGAAAGGATCCAAGAGAAAATCCAGCCTTTGAAACATAAAGACAAAAGAATTTCTTGAAATTCACATCGTCGCGGAACGAAATGCATCATTGACAAAGCACAAGGGATGAAACAAAGGGAAAGAAATAAAATTCCCCCCCTCGGCCACGAAAAAAAGGGGAGAGCCCATATTCTCGCCACTTAGGCCACACGCCGCCGTTTTCTCTCAATCGCATGCAACGCGAACGAACCACCGGAAACCCGCTCTTATCCGGCGCCATTCTTAAGAAACGTCCCACCTCCAGACCAAATGTACACAGGAATGCCAAAGGCAAAGAAGAAGAAGGGGGCAGAGGTAGAGAGAGAGAGAGAGAGAGAAAAAGGGAAAAATGAGACAGCGTGTGATGCGAGGAGAAGATAGCCATCGTCTTCTTCTTTGCATAATTTCGAGAACGTGGAGAAAGGGTGGCGGTGTATTAAAAGAGGGCGAAAAGGAGAAGGAGGAGAGGCGGTGGAAAGTGGAAAGTATGGCAGGGGTAAACGGAAAAAAGGAAAAAAAAAAAGAAGAGGAAGAGGAAGAGGAGGGTGGAACAAAGGTGGGGCACAGCTTAAATAACAGTTGGAGACGCGACGAAATAAGAGGCGTCTGGCGAAACCCGGTACATGGAAAAAGGAAGGAAGATAATAAAATTACCGTGGAGACGATATATCTACTGGCTGTTGAAGTGGGTGGTGGAAGATGAAAGAAGAACGGGGTTGAAGGTGGAAACATATGCGAGGGATGGTAAATAAGGATGGTTTTTTCAGGAGCAATTTGAAAGATTGAAATACGTTTGGGAGGGATGTACATTATTGAACAGATTGAGTTTAACAGATTCGCTTTTGTATTATCGTTCGTGTAACACGTGGGTGGAATCGTTTTATAACGTGGAAAAGTTAAAGCTTTCCCTCTCGTTTCTCCAAAAATACATGTGAAAAATAATAATTTTCCTTCTCTTTCTTATTATTTAATTCTTATAGATAGTGTTTTGAAATTTAAAAATTTATTATTAATAAAAATAAGAAATATTCTTAAACGTACAATGAAAATAATGATCGTCAAAACATTCGTGAACATAACACAACTTCGAGAAACCGCCATGACGGCTCAACCAACGCGGTAAAAACGAAAGGGTGTTGATGAAAAGAGGTACACATTTGGGCGGGTGTGTTAAGTTAAGCCGCGGTTACGACTGCGTTCCCCGGTGTCTTAGGGCCGACAGAGAGGTAATTCTTCGCCGGAAATTGGATGTACCTAGGTTCGTGCTACGATCTTGCACCTGCCCTCGAGCGATAAGATCGTGCGGGATAATCGAATTTCATTGAATACGCTCCGTGGCCGCAGACCGTATAGACGATTGCGTCCGCGAGCTCGAATTGCCTCGAAATTCAAGCGATCGGGGGCTATTGTCGATTGAGAGACCAAGACGAGGGGGAAGGACAAACCGGATCATCTCGAAGATGGCTCGAGGTATCCTCTTTGCCACGAGAAACGGAGGAAAGGGATTTAGAATCGATTCGGTTCAGATTCTGATTGTTACATCGCCACGCAAAGCGAGAAATTTACGTGGTCCACTCTGGTTGATAGTTTGGAGGAAGGATCCCTTCTTTCTTCTTTTGTGAGAGAAAAGAGATGATTATTATTGTTTTTTCCCTCTCTCTTTTGATTAACGATAATCGAAAGAAAAAGGGAGGGAATTCACTTTGATCAAATTTCATTTTGATGCAATTTTTAGAGAGATTTTATCACAAACGATTATTAAGGGATAAGGATGATACTTATGGGATAAAATGTGTATTCTATGAGGGAAAACGTGACAATGTTTCTTGTTTCCTTGCTTTGCATTCTTTATTTCTTTGTTTCGTATCTAATATTTGCGGAAATAATCTCTTCGAGGGGAGAAAGAAATTGAATGTGTTGAAAATAAGATATGAAAGAAATATAGCTCGACGTTAAATCGAAGCATTATATTTTAAATAGTTTAAAATTGGATTTTTACTTTAAAAGTATTGAGAGCATATTATAATAATTGAATTAATATGAAAAGGGATTAAGTGAATTGAATTATTTAGAACCATCTACGTTAAGATTAAAATATCTTTCAATTTTTCAATCAATTAGCCTATTCTAATAGGAAACTACAAATAATAATTTCGTAATATTATTCAATAAAAAGAAAAAATAAAGAAGTATTATACCTAAATGCATATATATCATTATACTTATCAAAATATCATTCCAGTACGATAATCTTCTCTAAAGCATTCTCATTTTTATCAAATTATAATAAAACTTTTCGTGTAAAAAACGTGAGAAAAAATTAAAAATTTTCTTATCAAAATTCATTCAGAGAATAGAGAAAACCATTCCGTTGAAGTCCTTTTTTGTTTTATCCCGATATCTCAATCGGTTGCCGAGATATAAGGATTCAAAGAGTCCATTCACGATAGTGCAAAAATTATGAATGAGCTCGTGGCCCAGTGACCTATATTTTTTTCCAGGAATCGCGTCTGTCACCTGTCTGCAATTCGAGATAGGTCAGTGAGACGAGGCGCGAGCGAGAAGTCCTGGCAAGCGACAAGGACGAAGATAGTAAACGATTAAAAATTACCGTTCCTTTACACGACGATATCTCGAGAACCGGAAGTCGTATCGGGACGAATGAAAAAGCGTTTTAAAGGGGAAGATTCCGCGCTTCTAACGAGCTTTCATTCGTTGATCAAAAGTCATTATCTTCCGAGTTATAGCGGTTTAAATTTTTCTTAATTTTAATAGGATTTTAACAGAGGTGAAAAACAGGTTTCGTTTCGTTGCTCCACGAATTTACG